TATAATAGAAACAGTACCGAACACAGTAAATTACATCACGTGCCTACAAGAATCTATGTTATGTGTACAGCACACACAAATAAAATTAGTGTAGAGTTCCTCTTTGAAACATGTTTTCACAGAAACTCAAAATACGGCCTTCTGGGTAACTGTAGCTGGCAGATTGAGGCTCACAGACATCCAAAATCTCACCCACAGATACTGAAGGATTAAATAACAAGCGAGAGGATTCAGGAAGGAATCACTGTTCACCAAAACCTGAGAAACGTGAGGTGAGGTAAGTGTTCCTGCATGGGAGGAAAGGGAAAGAGGAGGCCATATAACTATAATTCACATTGAGGACATGACTAATAACCCATTGACACATAAGCTGATTAATGCTAACCAGAGCAGATTACGCAAAGATTATGCAAATAGTTTACAATAACAAAATGCATACAAAACAGGCAAACCCTGCCATCCAAAAATCTGTCCATTTTTCTTTTTGTTCATCTTCTTCCCTACCCTGTCACCTGTCCCCTGAGAGCATGTTGTTTACACTGCCTGGTAGTATCCACATGCAGCTTTATCTGCCCATGTCCTCCTTTCCTGCCATACAGCTGATGCTTCCAGTTTGAAAAGCAGGGCCTCCACATGGGTAAATGTCTCAGCAAAGCCAGATACACACACACACACACACACACAGTGAACTGAAGATGCCTCCCCATATCACATAATAATGTCTCCAGGCTTCAGATGAGGCACTGGAAGCACATAATCTGAGGCCTTGATTTATTTCTTTACTGACTGCATAACAAAACCACTGAAACCTAGTCTATTGTATATTTGCTGCAAATATATGTGTGTTCCATGGTTTTATTTACTTGAAAGTTAATAAATAATAGACGCAAATGGATGCTGCATCACAATACAATGGTAAGATTAACAGCTGAAGAAAAGGACTTGCACAGACAACCTATTTAACGAGGAAAAGATAATATGAAAATGACAAGCTAAATAATTTGAGCAATTATTGTAAACTGAGCAGCAACAAGAGTAAGAGTAATGAAACTGAAGGAATATCACAAAAATATTGTGTTCTTGTTGCTGAATAACATGTGACAATGGCACATAACATGATGTAAGATATGTACAAAGGAAGTTATTTCAATAAGCAGTGATGCAGGAAATGAGGAAATAACATCACACGGGAAGTGGGTGGCAATAAGTGTGAGCATGTGTGTTTGTATGTTTTTGTAGGAGTCTATGTGTGTGAGAGTGAAAAAAGGGAGGTGTGTCTGGAGTTTTACAAGTTGTTTGGATCAACTATTCAGTCCACAAGATGGCGTAGAAATACAATAGTGACAGTGGAATAATCACATCTGCATCTAAATCTACAGTACGTCTTGTCAGAAATGTACATTCCAAATGAAATATGAAGTGAGCAGACAGAGACTGCTCTTTGCTCACGAGCACTCTGATTGGACATTTGGCCCTAATGGACACATGTTGACAGATGCAGGAACGTATTATAAACTGGTAAGAACAAGAAGTAATAAGAAGCTCTTTCCATTAAGCACTGGTTCTTTTAAGGAAAAATGGATTTTACTTAAGCTGATGCACCACTGAGAGAGTTGCTTGTGAAGAGCAAGAGCGAGAACAATGCTGCTTTTTCATTAGACTTGTACAGCACACTGCAGCTGCACCATAGAATGTTTGGCCTAATTTGAAGACAAGTCTTAAATATATACATTTTAATGTAGAGAGTAGTGACAAAGGGTACACTTTTAAAGGTGACATATTATGAAACATGGATTTTGCCTTGTCTTTATATGGATTTGGCAGACGGAAATGTTATTTAGGCTATTTAGGCGATCCTCCTTGGGGGTTTAAAGTCTTCAGATAAACAAACCTACACAAGCAACTTACATAATGTACTGTAGCTTACTGCCCAGTTTATGTTTTTTTTGGGTGGGTAGTCAGGCAGGTAAGGAAATAGTTAATTTTAAATTTGGTAGTTGCTACACTCACCACAAATTACTTTCAGTAGTAGAAATTGGGCAAGGGACATTCAGGGATTTAAATGGAACTCACTAGCCCTTGCAACAGTTTTCCAATGCAATGCATTTACAGCATTTATAGCCATTGCTAATTTTCAATACCCGTCCCTAGAAGCATTGACTGCCAGTTGTTTACTTTAGCTGATGCCACTGTTATTTTCCTACACTGCCTTAACCCTCTTGGGCATGGAGTTCACCAGAACTTTTCAGGTTGCCACTGTAGTCCTCTTCCACTCCTCCATGATGACATCACGGAGCTGGTGGGTGTCCTTGCGCTCCTCCAACTTCCGTTTGAGGATGCCACACACATGCTCAATAGGGTTTAGGTCTGGAGACATGCTTGGCCAGTCCATCACCTTTACCCTCAGCTTCTTTAGCAAGGCAGTGGTCGTCTTGGAGGTGTGTTTCGGGTTGTTATCGTATTAGGGCCAGTCTCCAAAGGGAGGGGATCATGCTCTGCTTCAGTATGTCAGAGTACATGTTGGAATTCATGGTGTAACTGTAGCTCCCCAGTGCCAGCAGTACTCATGCAGCTCCTGACCATGACACTCCCACCACCATGCTTGACTGAAGGCAAGAAACACTTTGTCTTTGTACTCCTCACCTGGTTGCCACCACACACGCTTGACACCATCTGAACCAAATATGTTTATCTTGGTCTCATCAGACCACAGGACATAGTTCCAGTAATCCATGTCCTTAGTCTGCTTGTCTTCAGCAAAGTGTTTCTGGGATTTTTTGTGCATCATCTTTAGAAGAGGCTTCCTTCTGGGACGACAGCCATGCAGATCAATGCAGTGAGCGGCGTATGCTCTGAGCACTAACAGGCTGACCCCCCCACCCCTTCAACCTCTGCAGCAATGCTGGCAGCACTCATACGTCTATTTCCCAAAGACAACCTCTGGATATGACGCTGAGCACGTGCACTCAACTCTTTCGTTGACCATGGCGAGGCCTGTTCTCAGTGGAACCTGTCCTGTTGAACCGCTGTATGGTCTTGGCCACCGTGCCGCGGCTCAGTTTCAGGGTCTTGGTAATCTTTTTATAGCCTAGACCATCTTTATGTAGAGCAACCATTTTTTTTTTTAAGATCCTCAGAGAGCTCTTTGCCATGAGGTGCCATGTTGAACTTCCAGTGACCAGTATGAGGGAGTGTGAGAGCGATAACACCAAATTTAACTCACCTGCTCCCCATTCACACCTGAGACCTTGTAACACTAACGAGTCACATGACACTGGGGAGTGACAATGGCTTATTGGGCCCAAATTGGACATTTTCACTTAGGGGTGTACTTACTTTTGTTGCCAGCGGTTTAGACTTTAATGGCTGTGTGATGTGTTATTTTGAGGGGACAGCTGTCATTTCTTCAGTGTTGTCACATGAAAAGATATAATCAGATATCTATGAAGATTCTCAGTCATCCAGGTCATAGTTATCCAACGAGGGTTAAAATGAAGGGCAACTGGACTTGGTTGAAGATACTGGAAGACGTTTCGTCCCTCATCCAAAGGACTTCTTCAGTTCTGAACTGAAGAAGTACCCTCCCCACCTGAGGGCACTGCAGTCCCCTTTGCCCCCTCAAGTGCAATTTATACTTCTGCGTCAAATCGACAGCGTAGCCTGACGTGCACCTCCTCAAAAATGTAACCACACGTCAAGTCGACGCGGACCGTAAGCTCTGTGATTGGTCGGCAGGGAAGCCTCGCAATGTGTCCGAGCCGACAGGAAGTGCCCGTGCTTTGAAGTAACTTTTACTAGCGGTCAAAACAGCGACTGTAACACAGTGGATCAATATATTTGACCGTCACAACCCGAGCGAAGTGACTCGTTTCATTATCAGAATGTGATCCACTCGGTTGATAACATTGATAACAAAAGGCTACACCAGCCGCACATTTACTATTTTACCCCCATTCACGTTAGCGGAGGGCTAAACCGGAAGTTAGCCTGCTCGGCTGGCAAAAGTCGACACAGTGGACTCTGTAGCGCTAGTGCCGACTAGCGTTTGGGGGTGTAATTACAGATTAACGAACACATGGACGCACAAGTATAAATGCCTGGCTACATGCATAGCCTACAGCGTAGCTACGCAAGTATACCCCAACGCAGGAGTATAAATCAAGCTTTTCTACGCCCCTGAGCATAGGTTAACATTTTGTGAGCTCAGGGGGGCATGATTTCTAAAAAAAAGTTATTTATCACTTCATTTCTTTTTTAGCAAAGCTACATTTAAAAAACACACCAGCCCTCAAACATGTCTGTGACTGACAGAAGAAGGTGGATTACATCACCTACAGGTTTGTGCCCCTGACAGCTGAGTCATCTTCAGCTTTAGTGGTTTAAGCCACGGGGTCTTCCTCTGCACAAAGTCATCAAATTGTGACTTCAAAGCCCCCAACTTGACTGTGATGTGGTTAAAGTGTTGCTTGTGCATGTGTGAGTGAGCGTGTTTGGCAGGCTATTAACAGTATAACAAAAACATTGATTGATTGTGCTGGAACCACTGGTAAAAGTGGTTATCAAGCTTTTTTAAGCTGGGCTGTCACCCCAACTGACTGATATCTCAAAAACTCTGCAGACAAGACCAAAACTATTTACATATCTAAGTTTAGGTGGAAAAAAATGGGGATTTTTTACGATGTGAAACAGGGTATAAGCACAACAGCAGTTGATTGGTAGAGAACACATTAAACTCACTAACTTGTGGGCAAACCATTTCTTGCCAAAGACTCGTTACAAGGGTTTATTGTTAGCAAAACGTTAATCCAATTCCAATGTACAGTGAGTTTTGAGACTGTTTTCTATGTATAAAATACAAAATGTCCCTTAAAATATGAAGAAAACTATTTGCTCTTCCTGAATTTACACACATCATGTGAGTGCCAGCCTCTTCAGCTGAGTTCCTCACAGTCTGAACCACATGTCCACGAACCTCTTTGAAGTCTTCCGTTACAGGAGGCGCCAGTGATGCTGTAAGTAGATAATTCAGTGTTCGTACAAGTTCCTGTCTACAGTTTCCTCCTCTCAGGCACACAAACTGCTGCTTTAGAGTAAATATCAAACCATAGGATTCAACACACAAAGGCAGCTCATAAAAATAAAAATCAGATCAAAGACTAAAGAGCCAAACCTCGCCAGCCGTGCAAGCAGCACAGTTCTTCTATCATGGTTGACAACATCGTCACAAAGCCTCTTGGGTTAGTTGTGATCATCGCAGCTCACATGGTATTCAATGGTAAGCTATCTTCTTCTGGTCGTTCATGTTTTACAATCCGAAATCTCAGTTTTGTGGGTTTTCAACTGCTACAGGTATATTTTTTAAACTGCTTCATTTAACTTATGTATTATTTATTTCTGCTTTATTCTGTTAGAATTACATTATGTCACGATGACATATGTTGTTATGAGCGCTAATGATACCTCAGTTTCCCAACTGCAATTAGTACCTGTATTGAATGGTGTTTAGGAGTTCCACACAGTTACTGTGCTTCTGAGGTGATTTTAAATAGGAACACAGTGCTCATTAAATGTTAAGTGTAACAAATTGTTGCATGACATCTTCCTCATTAAAACGTGATGCTTGTGTTTAAGATAATAACAGTGTGGCCTTGAGGCAACTTGTTTAATCTTGTGGAATTTTTATAAAATGTTTCCTTTAAAGCTCACTGAGATCTTGAATGTGAAATCAGGAAATACATAAGTCCATAAGAGTTTAAATTATGTCCTTTAATCCTTCATTTTAAAGTGAAACCAGTTCTGGTTCATAACATATATACAATAATGACAGATGGGATACATGGTTAATGTGAGTGGTACTTCAGCACAGCTTAATCAACAGTTAGGATATACAGGAGATATCCTAAATGTTTTCAGAGTCAAGAATTTATTTTATATAACAAATAAAACAGTTTAAGAGCACATACTAATATCCAGGGGCGTAGCACAAAATTCTGGACCCTGTACATAGGAATTCTCTATGGACCTCTCACTGCATCCACATCTATTCATTTTAGTATCTTTGTGGGTTCTCTTTACATAAGGGTCCTGTATCCTCAGTCCCCTTTTTCTAAATCAACCAACAAAATGCATTCTGTCAACTGTCCATTTTAACTAGTTTGTTTAAGAAAATAAACTTCAAGTATGTGTCTGTACTAAGCAGAAACTCCCAGGGCAGAAAAGTAAAGCCAACACGGAAGTGGTAAAATAGCAGTTCAGCGAAAAATGGTGTTGGTCTTTATAGTTAATTTCCCCGTTCATGACAACTGCATGGGGAGTGAATTGTCATGTAACTCACCTTTTTAAGTAATATTAAAGCTTAATGTTATGCATAATTAAGGGCCAGAGCCACCCACATTGAGCTTCACTCTCTTCAGAAACCAATGGGTGACATCACAGATTCTACGTCCACGTTTTATACAGTCATGGTCTGTACATCTGGGCTAATATTTTCTGAAATACAATTATACATGTTTATTCTAATCAATATTATTATTAAATTCAATACATTTTAAATGTGATTTAAAGGTAGTTTAATCACACCAAATCACATAAATTCTACTAAAGAGCTGAGACGGTTAATGTTAGTAACGTTAGCTTTAGCAGGAGTTTTGCTAGGCTTCTAATCTCCATTATGATTGCATTTACCTTCTTCCTCCTTCTAGATATGTAACATTACAAAATTATGTTGTTCATGAAAATTTATATTCTTTCAACTGCAGTTAACAGCTTGGAACCCTACTTTAGTTTTAGCTTTAGCTAAAGCTAGTAGTGGCTATCTCAGTGCAATTAGGGGTTGTAGAGAAAACAGATGGACAAAGCAGAGTGCAGTTACTGTTACCTGGGCAGAAATACAAAGTCAGAGAGGAGTAATTACACAGCCAGAGTGCAATTACTGTGGTTTAGCTTATATAGATCAGAGTTATCATTGCATCCTCTTACGCATCCACCTCTCTTGTTTTGTCTCCATACAGGCCCTAGCCGAGCTGAGGTCACTGGGCTCCTCAGTAACAACATCACCCTTCAATTCCCATTTAATGTCAGCATCTCAAATAACAGTCATTTTGCAGTTTATATAGATAGCAAAAAGATTGCTGAGTATCGACAGGGCGACAGGACAGGAGTTTTTGATGTTTACAGCAAAAATACTACTGTATTTTACCACATTACAAATCTCAACCTAAATGACAGTGGATATTACTGGGCCAGTTTGTTTAAAGAAGGATATGCTGAAGAAAGTGACAAGGTGCAGCTGATCGTCAGAGAGGAGAACAGAAGCAGCACGGGTGAGGACAGACTCTAGATTGCAGGTCTCACTTTTAAATTACACCAATATAGATCAATATTAAAACAGAAAACTTATCAGTCTGTGCAGTGTGCAGCATGAGAAGACTGATTTAGATGAACAGCATGTACTCATTTACTGTGGTTCATCGAGTTAACCATCACCCACCACACCACCTTCACTTCCTGCGTAAACAGAGAGAGGAGACCCTTCACAGCAATCCCTTGTTTGTCTAATTTCCAAAGTAAATATTTACCAGTCCTAGGGATTACCAGAACATGCTCAATATCTTTGAAAGGATAAGGCTGGCAATATTCTATGTTTTTCTTACTGTCAACAAATCGAACAAAAAGACCACAACCATCAATGAACTGATAACAAGTATGCCTGTATAACAAATGCTGATATAGTGTAATTATTTCTTTGGTTCTTAGACCTTCATTGTTATCCAAAAACTATTAAAACATATTGTAAGCAACACTGTTGTACTGGGTGTCATGTTGCTTCATTATGATGAACATGTGCACTACAGATGTAGACCTGTATCTTGACATACATCATATAATATTGCAATAGTGATATATATTATGATATAAATGGACTGCACTTATAGTGCTATTCTACCTTAGCAGGACAAAGAAGTTTACCTTGCTTCTCATTCACCCATTCACCCATTCACACACACACACACACACACACACACACTGATGGCAATGGAACTGCATTGCAGGAACATACAACATGTGGACAGCGTGACTGGAACCAACCCTGTGATCAGTGGGCAACCTGTTCTACTTCCAGAACCCCAGGAAAGTTTCTATTGAGAAACTGATTAGAGACAACATTATCAGGCTGTCTGTTTTTTGCTAATGCAGCAAATTAAAACATTGCTATAAAGCAGTCCTTCGCATGGTTTCTGAAGTCACCAAAGTTAGTGGGATTCATCCTTTGAGCATGAAGGATGAATAGCTGTATGAAATTTCATGGCAATACATCCATTAGATTAACACAATGTCTTTGTCTTTTCATGAAAATGGCTGACAATAAGAAAAATATAGAATAATGACATGCTACACCTTCTCTTTGGCTCACATCAGAGATGCTATTAGGCACTCCACAATGTATTGGTGCGGGTTAAAGGCTCATCTGCCTGCTGTCAAGGTGGTCAGTCAGAAAAGTGATTGTGTTTGTGTCTTAACCTTACTGTCTACTTTGTATTTAATTAAAAAAAAGAATATGTGATTATACTTTATAAGTAAAATTGTATAGGAAAAATATAGTCAAACAATAGAGAAATTTCCACTGGGGATATACAGTAATTCAGTATAATTTGAACAGTTATTGCCATGGCACCACTCTGATGGTTCATAATTTCCCTTTAACTCCTACAGTTCCTCCAGAGCTGAATAACAACACAACACCTGAAAACAGTGAAAGGCCCAGTTTCTCTCACATCATCACTGTGTTTGTGGTTTCACCTGTCGTTCTGCTGGCTGCAATATTTCCCTGGTTGATATGGTGTCTTGTGAGAACACAAGGTAAGGAAATTTACGGCCAAAACTGGCAAAACTGATAATTCAGGACTTTAAGGGATATTATCTTGTATCTGATATAGACGTACACTGACCCTAAGTTGCTTTCAGTGTAGCTAAAATAGGAATGCACACTTATTTCCATGCTATACTCTGTCTATACAAAAAATGTCAAACAAATTATTATAATCTAAAATACAATGTTAATGTTTGAACTGATACACCAGGAAACCTATCATTTAACCCCACATCCAGCCCAGTGCTAAATTATATTTTTAGGGCTATGGTGAGTAGTATTTTCTAAATTTTTACAAAGTAAAGCTGAGAAGAATTATTGTTATTCTGTGGAAAAAAATCTGCAATTGTGTGGTTAGATGCTCAAAATGCAAACCAGTTTGCAGTTTCACATCCTTTTGAAACACGCGATGATTCACAGTTTATGAAAAGGCATCCTTCAATATATGTGCCTACTATCACAAAGGGATGGGTAGAAAAAAGTGCTTGCATATTTTTTTACTATTACGAATGCGCTTTCACTTCAGAGACAACCCCCTTCAGCCTACTTTGAGTAGGAACATTGTCGCAATACATTTGACATCCCCCGTGACCTCAGAAACCACAGTTGATGATTTCCCGTACGTGTATACAAATGCAGGCTATTGCTGACTATGCGCTCCTTTATCACATCACACTAATCTGGTCTAACTGTTGTCCACAGACAGCACTGCTCTGATAGCTGTTGGATGGTGGAGATAAACTGTTCTCTTCTGAACCCTGTCTAGCTTATTTGTACTGCCAGATTATAAAGGATAATACTTGTGTTTCCATCAAAGCTTGTAACAGTGGTGCAGGTTAGAGCTAACAGTAAAAGTCAGACTTAAACATAGTTAATAGGTTTATCTTTAGGTTTAACAATATTATTGTCGATTATACTCTCCTATTTGTTTTAGTAATTTATTTGATAAACTTGAACAACAAATCTTCACAGAAACATTTGCTGTCCTTTGTTCAGCGTGTGTACCGCTATGGCTGTTGATGCTGATTAATCTGTTAATATGCTTACTGGTTTAAGTATTTTTGCCAAGAGTTAGATAAGAATATCAATAAGCTCTCTTGTCTATGCGTTAAGTATGGACTTGAAGTCGGACACGGTTAGCTTAGCCTAGCATAAAGAGTGGAAGAAGGGAGAAATGTATTTGCTAAAATGTTTAACTGTTAAAGCCACCTGCTTGTTCTACTACGATAACATTTTCACAAAACAAAGATGGTGATGACTGGTACCACATGTGTAGCAATGAATACTTTGATTATTTGCCTGACTGACTCAGTATTTCACTTGTTTTGCTTCTTATACAGACAAAGACCAACCACCACCACAGCAAACCTCTAATCACACAGTACAAGTAAGAACACACTTGTCTTTTAGGCCATCTTCAAAGATGTAAATGTCAATGTCATTCTTAAGTTTGACTCTCATCATCTTTGCAGGAAATAATTGAGGTGTCCAACAATGTGCCTGCACCCTCAGTGGTCTACAGCGTCCTGGACTTTCCCAAAAGACCTTCGGCAGTTTTGGAAATAAATCCAAATGATACAGAGTACGCTGCTGTCAGTTATCTCCCCGAAAAGATGTGAGTGTGACGTGCCACTGAATGTAAACCACCTGGTCTTTTCTTTGGTTTAAGAAAAGGTATGCAAAATAACTAATATATAATCTAAATAAATATATTTTGAGAAAGTGTAATAAATACTTTTTGTAAAGCAATGATGATGAATCCTTCCAGCATGTGGGCTCCTTGCAATGATTAGCAAGCAAAAACGTTTGGAGGGAAATAGTCACTATTCTGCAAGGGTCTTAAGTAAGTAGGTGTCACTTCATTTTCAGTGGTCTCGAGATAGAAATGGTGACAACTGCTGTGGCAAACCACAAGCCAGTACAGTAGCAAACTAACTTCAGGGTCATCTGGCTACTAAACCCTTAAAGGGAAAGTCAGGTGAGACTCTGTATTTTTGTTATTGTTAACAAATGCCATAAAAAAGACCAAGACCAACAATGAATTTACAGTGAGGAAAATAAGTATTTGAACACCCTGCTATTTTGCAAGTTCTCCCACTTAGAAATCATGGAGGGGTCTGAAATTGTCATCGTAGGTGCATGTCCACTGTGAGAGACATAATCTAAAAAAAAAAATTGAGCAATCACAATGTATGATTTTTTAACTATTTATTTGTATGATACTGCTGCAAATAAGTATTTGAACACCTGTCTATCAGCTAGAATTCTGACTCTCAAAGACCTGTTAGTCTGCCTTCAAAATGTCCACCTCCACTCCATTTATTATCCTAAATTAGATGCACCTGTTTGAGGTCTTTAGCTGCATAAAGACACCTGTCCACCCCATACAATCAGTAAGAATCCAACTACTAACATGGCCAAGACCAAAGAGCTGTCCAAAGACACTAGAGACAAAATTGTACACCTCCACAAGGCTGGAAAGGGCTACGGGGAAATTGCCAAGCAGCTTGGTGAAAAAAGGTCCACTGTTGGAGCAATCATTAGAAAATGGAAGAAGCTAAACATGACTGTCAATCTCCCTCGGACTGGGGCTCCATGCAAGATCTCACCTCGTGGGGTCTCAATGATCCTAAGAAAGGTGAGAAATCAGCCCAGAACTTCATAGGAGGAGCTGGTCAATGACCTGAAAAGAGCCGGGACCACCGTTTCCAAGGTTACTGTTGGTAATACACTAAGACGTCATGGTTTTAAATCATGCATGGCACGGAAGGTTCCCCTGCTTAAACCAGCACATGTCAAGGCCCGTCTTCAGTTTGCCAATGACCATTTGGATGATCCAGAGGAGTCATGGGAGAAAGTCATGTGGTCAGATGAGACCAAAATTGAATTTTTGGTCATAATTCCACTAACCATGTTTGGAGGAAGAAGAATGATGAGTACCATCCCAAGAACACCATCCCTACTGTGAAGCATGGGGGTGGTAGCATCATGCTTTGGGGGTGTTTTTCTGCACATGGGACAGGGCGACTGCACTGTATTAAGGAGAGGATGACCGGGGCCATGTATTGCGAGATTTTGGGGAACAACCTCCTTCCCTCAGAGCATTGAAGATGGGTCGAGGCTAGGTCTTCCAACATGACAATGACCCGAAGCACACAGCAAGGATAACCAAGGAGTGGCTCTGTAAGAAGCATATCAAGGTTCTGGCGTGGCCTAGCCAGTCTCCAGACCTAAACCCAATAGAGAATCTTTGGAGGGAGCTCAAACTCCATGTTTCTCAGCGACAGCCCAGAAACCTGACTGATCTAGAGAAGATCTGTGTGGAGGAGTAGGCCAAAATCCCTCCTGCAGTGTGTGCAAACCTGATGAAAAACTACAGAAAATGTTTGACCTCTGTAATTGCAAACAAAGGCAAGGTTCAAATACTTATTTGCAGCTGTATCATACAAATAAATAGTTGAAAAATCATACATTGTGATTTCTGGATTTATTTTTTTTTTAGATTATGTCTCTCAGTGGACATGCACCTACGATGACAATTTCAGACCCCTCCATGATTTCTAAGTGGGAGAGCTTGCAAAATAGCAGGGTGTTCAAATACTTATTTTCCTCACTGTATAGTGTTTGTAACAGAACATTTATTCCTGCTTTCCGTCACAGTGGACAGGCATTGGTTTTTTGTTACTATTAAACATACCAGACTCCAAATATATAAATACTTTTCTGAGGCTATGGAGGCATGACAGATGACTGCCAACATATAATATTTATTCAAACAATCAAAGACTATAAGTCTTTACGCTCACTGACATTTACTTCGAAATGGAAATTCTATTTTCTTCAGACTTTTCGCTACAGGTCAAATCTGGACTCCAGTGCTGAACTTCACTGTAGTGACATTTATGACTTGTTTATTCACATTTTTACCTTCATATACGTGGTGTAATATCTTTACATACTTCTTTGGGTTTCAGGTGTAGTGATTTTAACATTTTCTGTCAATGTCGTATTTTTCATCATTGTGTTGATCACAGTTTTGACTCATCAGTTTTCTCTGGTAAAATAAACAAAACTAAGAACTATTACTGAAATGAAACAGTCTTAGGAAATGGTGGCATTCTATTTGTAGTATAGAAATACGATACCAGCTCAACAGTACTGTACATTCACGCGTCATGTGTGATTTTCCGTTTACTGTATAGTGACAGTTTTACATATGCAACTATCTGACACTATCTCACTGCCAGTTTCCACTGCAGATCCACTGAAGTTCTCTTTTGGCAGCTGCTCACCGATGTTTTGATAGATTTGTCAGAAGTATTGATTTATGTTCTTAGTGTCACATATTGATATCATTAATGTGTGTTGTCCCTTTATCATATAGAGTTAAACTCACCCAACATATCTGTTCAACAGTGGCACACAATCGGGTTATTATTCAGCCCGGATGTCGGTTGTTACTCAGGAAGGAAAATACAGCCAAGCTAGTAAATTATGACATGAACCAAACACAGACTGAAGTTTCTCTTTTCTGAAAACCTTTTTGGTAAAATAGCAAATTTGAAATCCACCATGTTTCGTGTCCTCAAGTGTTGTTTTGTCATGTACTACTGAACTGATTCTTCTGGAAATGCACAAAATACAGCAATAAACTTTATTTTTTGTGTGCGAATAGTGCCGAAAATACGTTTTGTTTTGATGTCAGTAGTTTATATTCATGGCAGAACTTAAAATTATGTACAAATAAAAGACAATGTGTATGCTTCACAGTGTATTACAAAAAGTATAGCTGCATGCTCAGCTTATTAAAATGTTGCCTTCCTGAATAAAATGTCTCATAATAATAGCTGCTGATTCCCTCTCTTGACTTTGTCTACATACAGTGTTTCAGTGTCGGAGAGAAAGCCACTCCAGGCAGACAGTAGTTACACATGAAGCAGGTGGAGCTTAAAAAACACAAATTTACCAATTTGACCCAGTCTTACCAAACACTTTCAGTACGTAAAAGCATGCAGCACTGATCCATCACACTTGCAGAGTTGGTGTCAGGTTGGAAGTAATTTTAGTGTATCAATGACCCAAGTAAATCAGATATAACTACCAATCCCACAATGGCTTGTCTTACTGATTAAGGTTTCAACTAATACAGCTAAACAAGACAGTCACTTTCATTTCATGATAAAGAGAGAAACAGAAAGAGAGAGCTGACTAAATGAGCAGGCATCTATTTTTTCTCACAGCTTATGTAAACGGGTAAACCCCCAGGAAAAGTCATATATTCCCTTCAATTTAATATTTTTATAGTCATTTGACGATGGAAACAAAAAAGTCATGTCAGTTACAAGCTCTTATGTAATCACAGACCAGTCTGGATTACCAGCTGGGCAAAGCACGAGCCCAGACAAGGTTATTTGGAAATTTACAACTGTATAATATTAACTGAAAAGGTTAGTTTTTACCTGATGCATATTCCTGAACAAATGTGTTTAATCAAATTACCACAGATTAAATGACTCATAGCTAACCGGGGCCAGGTAGTACGACAAACTGGTGGATTTCTGGGGCTTGAGGGAAAATATAAATGAAGCTGCCATGCACAGCATAGTCTGCTGCATATGCTTGGTTCATGAATAGCACATAAAAATAACACAGTATATACTCTACAATGCACAGAGACTGGGAAGCAGGAGGAATCGGAGGGTCATTAAAAGTCTAATTTTTGAGAAAATAGAATCCCCAGTATTCGCCTTTCTTGTAGAGGGATAAAGTGACAAAACCCCCTTGAATAAATTAAATCAGGAAGCTCAGTTAAAACAACTAACTATTAAAGTTGGACTGTGACTTTCCATGGATGTTCCCTGAGAACCTTCATCAGTTTCATCCTTCTTGTTAACAGTAGCCGACCCTTCAACTGTAGTAGTCTAGCTCCTGAGTTACAATGAGGGGCCCTTCTTCCCTTTCAGAGCCCTGAGTGGAAATATAAACGATCCCCTCAGATCCCCTTTTGCATATGTGGTGTGTCTGCTCAGTATTTGAAGGAGCAAATGCCTCTGAAGAAGGAACCCTTAAAATAATCACTAAAGTAAACTGTTGCCATTTCCTTGAGGTGAAGCTGGACTTCAGTGTCTTTTGTTTGTGAGCATCTGTGCTGCTACCTTTTGCACTGCCACAAGCAAATAACGTGTCTGCACTTTGCACAACATTACACCCACCTCTACAGTAACGTGGTTTCTCATAAACAAACCAAGCATTTCCATAACTGTGCTATGAGCGGTTGCATCATCTAACAGTAACATTTAAATGATTAATGCAGACAAGGACAAACGGTTCAACTAAGGAGTGAGTTTTCTTTCCAACACTGTTTTACTGGAAGAATTTTCAGAGGCCTGAAGTGGTCAAAAAAATCACTATTAAAACTATTAAAAAATAAACACATTTGTGTAATGGAAGAAAAATGCATAGGGCCTATATTTTTTCTTTTATACCTTTAATAATCATTTTATCCCTGTAACCCCTCACCTTAGTCTTTGGGGGCCCTCAGCTTTGGAACCACTGCCAGTCGCGGAAGAAGCGTTCAAATACTTTATTTAGGCAAAAGTACCAATACAACAATGTATAAATACTTCAGAAGAAGTAAAGAAGTAGAAGTTCAGAAATATTATTATGTACTCAGTGTGCTTATAGTATGTATTGTGTTCAATTCTATTTCTGTCACAAGAAACAGGAGTTTGGACTCAGATTTATAAGCTGTTGTTTAGTTAGTGAGATTTTATTAACAACACGAGTGACTAAATAATAAATAATTATTCATTTAGCTGACTCTTTTATCCAAAGCAACTTACAATTGCTACATACGTCAGAGGTCGCACGCCTCTGGAGCACCTAGGGGTTAAGTGTCTTGCTCAGAGACACATTGGTGGATGTCGCAGTGGGAATTGAACCACACTAGAGACATGTGTCTTATCCACTCCTCCATCACCACCCCAAACTTATTTGTGACAGTGAAGCAGTCAAAAGTCAAAACAAGGTACATCCAGAACAAAAGATGATTGTCCATCTAATCCAAACAGTACAGAATCCATGAGACAAATC